TAAAAATATTCTTCACAGTTAATCGCAGAAAACATATGAATACCCATAAACAATGAACTGAAATAAAAATCAATTAGATCTCACAATGTTTATAGAATCAAAGCTTCCCTAACCCTTCAACTAGAAATTAAAACCTTACAGACACTTCATGATGAAATCGCAGCTTCCAGATGAGAGGGGGCGAACTCTGCTTCTTCTTCCTTGGTTGCTGATTGCTTTTCTTGAAGGCTAAAGCTCTCTTGCAGGATTTGATGATGCCCTGGGTGCTAGTCCGCCCCCCTTTATATAGCTTTAGGAGGAGGGGCTGTTTCCAACTCCTTTTTGGAGTTCCTTCTCAAAAATAAAAAGTCCTATTTCCTATAGATAATGCCTAGATTAGATCTAATCTACTCCTATCTCTTAATTGGTAACCTTAATCTCTTTTATCCTTCTAGAAATACAATAGAAAATTGAATCTGATAGGACTCTTTGATGTTTCTTATTCTTGCATTCGTATTGGGCTTCTTCAACGAATTGGGCTGCTGCAAGGCTTCTTTGCGAACTGGGCTTTAGTTGCGAACTGGGCTTCTCTATGAATTCGCTTAGACTTCGGGCCCAATTTTGACCTCGACGCAGTCCGAATCTATCAAAACTCAAAACATGAAAGTTGTAGAGTTTTTCCTTATCTTTCTAATGCATCTTGAATCATCTCAATCGGAGTCCGAATGGGAGAGTTATGCCCAAATTATCACGCGGCGCCGAAACTATGCAAAATTACCCGATTAGCCTTGTTTTTCACCCTACGCCTTCTTTCGTGCCCTAAATCGAAATACAAGAATAGTGAGTCCAATTAGGTACTAATTAAGTATAAAATACTGAATATTGAGGGATAAAAATATGATAATTTTTATTCTCATCATGGACTGACATTTTATCAAAGAAAGAGTTGCTTCTCAAGAAGTGTGTCATTCTCTATGTTGGTTCTGATATGCAACTTGCTGATATCTTCACCAAAGTTGTTACAAAGATCAAGTTAGAGACATATTTATGCAAGTTGGGAATGACTAATATCTAATCGCAACTTGAGGGGGAGTGTAGAGACACAGTACAGTCCTCCCATAATTGTCAAGGAGTTTGGGCGAGGCCCCACCTAGGCATCACCTAGTTGACTAGGCGCCCTTGGATGGGCTCCTTACYCAAATGCCTTGACTTTTAGCAACTAGGCGACTAAGCGCCCACCTAGGTGACAAAAATGACAAGGTGGGCACCTTTTATAATATCATTTATATTGTTGTATCATATTAATGTATGTGTTAATTCATTATATTATATGCTATATATATTAATTATACTTTGTTTTAATGTTTTACTATTGAAATTTAAAAGATCAAAGGGTTTTGAGGAGAGGAAAAGAAAGAAAGGAAGAAAGAATAGAATTATAAAGACAGAAACTCCATCCTTGTTTTTTCTATTTTACTTTTCATCTTGAATATTTATCATATAAAGTTAATAACCTTTTTAGCTGCTAATTGATATGAAATTGCTCTATTAAATACTTATTATAGTAGTATTATTTTTGAAAACAATGAAATTAATATATGTAAAGATTTTTATCTTTTAGATGTGATGATTTGCCACATTTTTAGAGGGAATTTAATGTTCTTAATAAAGAGAATTTCTATTTTTTCACTTAACATACATGCTGAATGGTATATAAAACTAGGGAACTAACCAAAAGTTAGTCTTTTTATATTATAAAATTTTTATCTCCTAGGAGACTAGGTGCCCCAGTGTCGCCCAGAATCGCACTGACACCTTGAAAACTATGGACTTTATATTTATGTTATGTTTTATGTTATTTRTTGCTTGCTGTTAGCTTCTTGTTATTGTCTTCCTTTTCTTATATGGGTGGCAAGGGTACTTTTGTTTGCTAACATATAAATATAAAAAGTAGGGCAGCAGGAACATAACTTACTGCACCCCTTTTCTCATTCTCTCTTCTCTTCTTCGCTGTTCTCCTCTGTTATTTTTTCCAAGGTTCAAAATATCGATACAGGGCGATACGCTAGTAGGGCGTATCGGCCTGTATCAGTACTGTTTTTTTTTGTTTTTTTTGTTTATTCTTTTCGAATCTGGTTCAGAGGGCCGGTTTAAGGCTGGTCTACCCCCTGAACCACTCGCTGACCCGAAACACTCCCTGTAGGGGCGTATCAGGAAGGCTCCGATACATGACAAAATTTTGATCCTTGATTTTTTCCCTTTTATTTTGCTGAATACACATCAGAATATAGTCTGACTGTAAATTCTTTCCAGGTAAATACTTCCTGAATAGGGTTGGCTCTGGTGTTCTCTGGTTGTCTTTGTTGTGTTTAGAGATGACTTGGATTCCAATAAGCTTACTGTTGTTGGATTCAGGTTATAGTAAACCTGATGGGTTGGGTCATAATAACTAAGTATATGGGTGAAATTAAGCACTCAAGATGGTTCTGTCTTAGCAACCATCCATGAGAAGGAGGTGCCACCATACTGAAGGGCATTGACAAGATGGTTCTGTCTATCTCTCTCTCTATGTACCTCATCTGGTGAATTAGAGTTATTACTAAGTGGCATTCACTATTTCTGCCACATTAAGTGATAAAGTGGCTGATCCAGATAAACCATTGGATAGGAGACCTGCTGGAATGGCCATTTCTTTAATCCCCAAGCCCACATGGCCTTTATTAGCTCTCTGAAACATGGATTTGAATTTTGATTGTGAACCACATTTCAACATGGTCATCCAGAATGTTGCTTGTATTTCTCCCTTCTTCGTAATAGTAGTTTTGGTCAGATTTATTCTATGTACTGTACCCAGAAGTTCAATTTTTCCCAACTGTAGGGGTTTTCTTTTCTTTTCTTTTTTTTTTTTCAATAGGTTCTTCAGTTTTTACTTTCAATAGTTAATAAATTCTCTCTTTATACAGTTGTTGATAAAAAATGATGAATTTCAATAATTCACACAATTTTAATATTTTTTAAATTCTTTTGAAGTGGTAAGAATATAATATGCTCATTCCAAAAGTGTGTGCATGTAACAGCCCATGTGCAGCAAGGAGCTATACATTGGGAAATCAGAAGATCTAGAGAAAAGTCTTCATATCAACATATGTTTGGTATTTATACTGCATATAAAAAGTGCTAAAACTAAAGAATTCTGAATAGGAGGCTTCCTGAATTCTTTGCATTCTTAACAATGATCTTCCTTAGGATTGCTTCTGAAGTGGTGCTCCTGTTCTCAGAAATGTTTGCGTTCCTTTCTTTCCAAGTCAACCACACTATCACAGAGGGAATTTCCCCCAGTGTCTCTCCCTGCTTCTCTTTGATTTTCCATCTGAGGAACAATTATAGATATTGAAAGGGAAGCACTATTGTATACCATAGATGTATTAAAAAAATCCATAGGATAGAACTTGCAATGAAAAAATATGTGATCAGTTTTCTCCTCTACCATCCCAGTGATCCCACATGATTGAGAAGATCATCAGATATGAACAAATGTTTTCTAGTCGGTGGTGAGAGGAATAGGTGGTCAATTTTTGGCTCTGACCATTCTTCCCTGCCAGTTATACCCAGTTAGGGTTGGGTTTTGGTTCAATCTGGTTAGCGTCAGAATGGCCCTAATCTTTTTCCATCTCTAAAATCAATTGAGCATCCCCCATATATAGAGAAAACAAATTCTGTAATCATATGTTGTATGTAGACCTGTTCATAGGCCAGGTAGCCTGACAGGCTGGCCTGGCCTGGCCCGTCTTTGGTCGGGCTTGGACAAGATTTTAGGCCCATGGGCTCAGGCTTTTTCAAAAAAGCCCAGCCCAAGCCCGAGCCCGAGCCCAGCCTGATAATATTTTATATAACTTACTTTGTTACTCCTCTTTTCTCTGGCCATAGTGAGATCGTTCAATATTTTTGGGGTTTTGAGGTCATTTAATATAAATAAATTGCTCTTGTGGTTGAATAAAAATTAAAAAAAGAGTTCTTCTTGCCCAACTTTTTGGTCAGGCTTCGGACTTTATACAAGGGCTGGGCTTGGGCTCAAGATCGCCCAATGGTCAGGCCAGGCTCGGGCTCCGGCCTGAACATATTCTGTTAATATAGAGGCAAAGCCTGGCCCGGCCCATCTGGCCCATAAACAGGTCTAGTTGCATGTATGAAATTCCCCTAGATAGTAACAATTAAGTATAGAAATACAAGTTTTAGATCGTAATTGTAATCATCTGCTAAATATGATATTTATGTCATTTCTTAGCTAAGACCTAAGGGGGATGGGTTGAATGGATCGGATCTCTTCATAGGTAAAATAGGTATGATGGATTATAGGATACAAATTTTCTGATTTCTTGTCAAAGGAGCATTCTAGTGTCTGTATCTTTCTATTATTTCAGTGTAAAAATGTTGAACTGAGAACTCTTGCAGGAGCAGAATAACAAAGGCATGCATAGAATGGATATCTTGTGGTCGCTTATGCAGTTTTTGCAACCCAAAGCAACCGTCTGATTCTATTGTTAGCCAATATGAAGTGATGGGAGGTGGAGGTTCACTTGTAAATACAGAGACACAGCTTTGTAGGTGCATGAGTGGCGTTTCCATAACATGCGTCTTCTTTCTGTATTTGCTATTAATAATTTATTATATTATTTTTTTTTAAGTTTTATGTAATACGACTTGATAGTTTGAAGATAATATTGATATATTTTTGTTAGCGTTTTTTTTTAACTAAGGTATTTTGTCCCAGAGCTTTCGCTTTCTATTTTTATTGCAATTTTGCCCCATGGCCTGTGTTAAGTGTTGACCCATCAGAATGCTTGTCAACCATTGCATGTCTACACTAGGAAGCACAGGAAGGCAAACGACTCCCATCATTCTGCCCTGTAGTGTATTGATAGAGCACATTCTCCTATGAACTATGAAGTATGAACCAGTTCCAAATTCATTGTAGATTGATTCAAAAATTGGATAAATGACGAGGATAAAAATTTTTATCATGTAGTTGTTACCAAAAAAGAACTAGTATTTATTTTTTCCCAGAAAAGGAATTCATGAATTGGGCTCAGGTTTGCCAATGAAGCAATTAAACTTAGCAAATCCATAGACAGGTAGTCAATCTCATCTCATAATTTAACACTGGACATGGCACTGAACGGTGCAAAATGGCAGTACAAGATTCAGGTAGCTGACCCCATATGATTGGGAAAAAACTTTCTTTGAGTTTCTGAATACTTTCAGTTTTTTATTCCTTTGAGTTAAGCGAGTACACAAATGGTATTACATTACCACTTTCAACTTGAAGTGTGTAAGCGTAGACGTACCGTCGAGTCCCTTAGACCTGAAGAAATTAGAATACTCTTGGGCCGTGGTTTCCCTGTAAATGGGAGGATTTTCCTCCGATAACAGCTCCTTGATTGGACCATAGATATGTGTGGAATCTTCACGAGACGGGAAAAAGGATGCTACGGATACACGGGGGCCTATGCGTTTTGCCAGCACTCTGTGGTCCACGCTTTTGAATCTGTCATTTGAGATAAGCTGCATAAACACAATATTGCTTTTCTGTTTTTGTGAGAAGCCCAATACGATATAGGAAATGAAAACACCATTAGAACAAGCTTTCGCACAATGCAATGGTCCATTCACATGTGTTGCGCTAGAGCCTAGGAGGAGGTATCATCAGGATAGTGTAGGAAAAAGCAACACAGACTGGGTCAGTTGAAACCGGATGTGCTACCAACAAATGTCCAGGGGAAATGTTTCCAATTTGCGGCTATAGTAACTTGTTGGGAGACCTGTTGGAAGGCTTGTTGAGAGCAGACCCCAACTTGGGTTGGTCCAGGTTGAAATCAATCTAGCCCAATCCAAGTATACAACCATTATTTTTAACACAAATTTATCAACAAATTAATGAAATTGAGCCCTAGTTGGACTTTATCTGCTATATATTATATATGAATATGATATAGACATTATAGTATAGCAATATGATGTCAAGAACCACCCTTCTTTCATCATGCCCCCTCTCTCATACAATCAAACTTATATGGCTAAACCAATCATGTTACATGCATAATGTGCATGAATATATGATTTCAAGTGTACTAGGGGCTCATTTGGTTCACGGGAATAGTGGTCTTGAATCAGAATCAGCCAACTGTTTTATTGGACAGAATCGGAATCCCATTTGGCCATTTCCATTCCTACTGGAATGGCATAGCCTGCCATTCCCTCCTTCCTTTGGGGATGAAATCCTATTCCAGTTTATTTCAATTTAAATTCCTGACTAAATCAAATTGACTATGGGAATAGACCATTTCAATTTCGAGTCCAAGAAATTTCGGTTCCAATTCCGACTGCAAATCAAACCGACCAAAAATTGGATTGTCCAATACCTAACTCAATTCAATTTTGGGTTAGCAAAATTTCCTAACCATAACCCTAATCCAACCTTAAACCCAACCCTTTTTTCGATTTGACCCAAACACAAGTAGTAGCTCTTAGTAGGAGGCAGAGAAGAAGATGGACATTCACCCATCATTCTGGATGTTGGGTTAGAACATAAGAGTGATGTTGAAGATCAAAAGGCTTAGAAATCTGAGTATGATGCTCAAAGCTTTTATTTCTCATGTAAATAAGGCAATGACCATTTTAGCCATAAAGACCCATTATTAAAAGGGGTATTTTTGTCCCATTCAAGCGTTGATAACTTTCCCCCTAGGTGGGAAATTTATTTACCCACATAGGAGATGGGTATCACTTACCCATACCCAGAAAAATAAACTTTCCCTGGTACCCACATAAATATGAAAAAAGAACATGGGATTCTTGGTCAATAGGAACCAAAATCCTGTTGGTCAACATTCCCCCCTCTCAAAACCCGAAAAAAGAATGCCCCCTAAAGGTGAGGTGGGTTGATGGCTTTGAAACGATGGGAAGCACCTAGGTCCCCTAAGGGTGATCATTTCGAGCTTGGGCCCCGTCCAGACTAGGCCAGGAGTCTGGGTCAGGCCTCGCCCAGGCTTGGGCTTGAGCTATAACCCTTATCATAGCCCTGGGCTAATTAACAAACCATGAAAATGTATTTGAGTATTGACAAGAAGAAGAATTAAACTGACCTGCAAAAGATCACCAACGTTTACTACTAAAGCACCAGGCATGGGTGGCACGTCAACCCAATGGTTTTTATGAAGAACTTGGAGGCCACCAATATGGTCTTGTAGAAGGATGGTGACAACATCATTGTCAGCATGCTTGCTAGTGCCCATTGTCAATTCGGGCTCAGGGCAGGCTGGGTAGTAATGACACAGAATGGCTTCACTCTCGGCGCATCCCATGTCTATCAGGCGTTTTGGCTCTAGTGTTAATGCCTCAGATACCAACTGCAACAGCGTTGCTGCTAACCTTGCAACCTGCCTCGAGTACTCCATCATTATATCCCTACAAATTAAGCACATAAGAAACCAATTAACCGATCAGGGTCGGAATTGGAAACATAGAAAACCAGACTGGGGCAGTAGTTTCACGGTTTTTTCCGTGTTCCTCATCCCACTCTAGCTAGCTAGTTAGATGTCTTTTGTTCAATACATACCTACAAGCTTCAGGCAATTCTTCAGGATTTGGAGGGTTAGGAGCCATTTTGCAATAGAAGGTGTCCCTCCAGTTAGCTGCGGGTGATTGATACAAATCGAAATTGCTATTATACACCACCCTTCTGCTGATGTCACGTGTGTAGAATCGTTTCTTCACTTCATTGTCTTGCTCGTAAAATCTGCGTACTCCTTCAAGCATCTCATCCAACAAGCTTGCAGGGATCCCATGATTAACTACCTGAAAGAAGCCCCATGTCTCCGATGCGTGGCGGATTTGACCGACGATCTCTTCATGTCGAATTGCATCTTCATGGATGCTGCCCAAATCTATAACTGGAATTGTAGTCGGGTGGATCTCACTGGTATTGGATTTCTGGTCAGTTTTATCGGATGGGCGGATGAAAATACGAGGGACCTTCACAAGCCCTGAGTCTACCAGTCCTTTAACACCAGCTTTCGATTCATCAAATTCTTTTAATTCCTTCGTTCGATCATAATCCGATGTGACTCCGGCTGCAGAAACTTTGCTGGCACCACCTGTGACTACCATCTTCTCTCTTTTGCAGGGTTCTAGCTAGCTAGGAGGAAAACTATGGGGAAGAAACCAGAGACAACGAGTCAGTAGAGTTCAACAGAAATTCCAAGATAAGAAACAACCACAGGATGATAAAGATGATGAATTCTACCCAGAAAAAGAAAAAAAACAAAAATATCCAATGGGATCTTATTGAAAAGTTCTGCCAACTACAAGATGATTAGTGGTGGATTTATGCGCATGTGGTGACCTTGGCTGCGTTTGGTTACTATTACTGTTTCTACCTATGTGAAACATTTTGTGTTAATCAACACAAGTTAATTGAGAGAGAGAGAGATTCTTATACCAGAAAGCTTTTTGGTTGATCAATACAAATTGCTGGTTTTACCTTGAAATGTCAAATTTGAGATTTTAAATATAAATGCCAATGTTCAATCCCTTTCTAGTTGATCCACTCTCATATGTGGTGTAACATTGCATATTTATTATCAATTTGTAATGATTAAGGTAAAACGTTTCATACAGAAACATACCTGATTGTGGGTGATTTGGCCCGACCTCATAACGAGGGGATAAGTGGACGTGACTCGACATAAGTGACAACTCAGCATAACGAGCTTGCTCCAACTCAGCGTAACGAGCTCACTATAACCCAGCCTGACAGCTCGCCATGAATAGCAGTTCGCTACAAGGTAATGCTCTGTTACCCTGAGCTAAGACTCCCCCAAGTAGGGAACACCCTGAGCTAAGATTCTTCCAAGTAGGGAGCACCCCGAGCTAAGATTCTCCCAAGTAGGGAGAATTCCGAACTGAAGACATTGCGGGTTAAGTTCGTCAGCTCCCTAGCTAGAATAAGCTTGCTCCTGTCCAAACCTAAGTAGGCTACCTCGGAGACCTGCCTCGGGTAGAAGTACCTCGGCGCATCCCCAGCAGCTCGGTGTAAGGTAGCTCGCTGCAGAGCAGTTCGGCATATCGTAGGGGATTTTTTGCCTGACAACTATACCTGCCAAACCTGGAGACTGCACCCATGTCTCTTGTCTGGCGGCGTTGTACCTGCCAACCCTGGAGGTTGTTTCTTGTCTGTCAGGACCGTACTCTACAGCAGTCACCTTTGCCCAACAGCTCAACTCTGACAAATAACGGCCAGCCACTCCAAGCCGTTATTTGACAGCAGATCGCCGCAACAGAGATTCGGAGGTGGTTGCACCTGACATGTCAAGATGCTAGTATATAAGGGCCCCGACCCCCAGTGGCGAAGGTATTGCGTGATCATCACTCTAGTTCTTTGATTTCTCTGTCTGTCTCTCTCTCTCTCTCTCTCTCTCTCTCTTATCTTTCAGTCTGGTTACTAACTTGACCGTCGGAGTGTTCCCACCAGGCAAGCCCCCCGGGATCCTTCATCTTCTTCCCACCAGGCAAGCCCACCAGCAAGGAGCGCAGCCCCTTCCAACTAGGAGTGACTAGATCGTGCACCATCAATTGGCGTCGTCCATGGGAAACGCTTCAAAAAACCTTCTTCCACCAAATCTTTCAAGTTCAGTTTCCATGGCTTCCTCCAGCAACGTCGGACGCAGTGCAGACATGAATGCTTCCGGGGAGCAACCTTAGATCCCAATGGTGTGTGTTGGTCAGTTCACCCTGTCACTCTCTGCGGATGGAGTTCCTACTCTGAACGTGCCCCAAATCATGGCACCTGCGAATGCTCCACTCCCCTCCACGGCGGGTGCAACCTTCGCTGAACCATCTGTTGTTCCCCGGTGGCCGGACAAAACCAACTTGAAGACCTGGTACACTACATGCGAGCTATGCAAGCTCAAATGCAACAGGTCCAACAATTCCAACTGTATCAACAGCAAGTGCTACACCAGGTTTATCAGCATCAGTACCAACAACAGTTTCCACCGCTGCCTCAGAACCAGCAGCCGACTACACCTCAGCATCCAGCCACACAAGCTTCGTCGCCGGAGCGAACGTCCCTCTCGCCGGGGAGAGACCTCCCAGACCTAGAATCCCCCTAGGAGCCAAGTCTCATCCCGCGGCAAGAGGGAGAAACCAGTTACTCCCACCTCGCCGCACTTGGTCAGGACGGGAGATTCTCAGCCTAACAGACCCGTATCACCTCGGCTTTCAGAGTTCAAGATCCCGCTTGTAGAAAACCAGTTCGAGGTCCTGGCCGCTGACTCTAGACAAGGTCCCTCAATCCACAGCCATCGCCAGCAATCCGAGCCATTCCCTGCGAGAACGGTGCCTGACAACACAGAGGCCAGCAGCACCAATGCGGAGCCAACAAAGAAGCAACGGAGATGCTGCCAAGCTCGCCGAGCTATAGCCCAGAACATGCCCAAACTCCTCAAAGGAAAGGAAGAAGCGAGCTTAGGAGCAGTGAAAGCCACTCCTCTCCTCTCCGTGCCATCTCCCCTATCTCCCGAACTCCTAGTCGTCCCGATGCCAAAAGATTTCAAGGTACCTCCCTTGGATAAGTATGATGGATCATTCGATCCGAATGATCATGTAGATTCTTTTCAGTCACAAATGCACTTAGCCGGGGCAGGTGAGTCTTGCATGTGTGTAGCTTTCTCTACTACATTTAAGGGGGTAGCTCGCACATGGTATTGAAACCTCGCGCCCGGAACAATCAAGAGTTGGGCACAGTTCGTGCAGATTTTCACCTTACACTTTATCACCAGCAAGAGGTGCCCGAGGTCCCAAGAAAGCCTTCTCGGCAGAGTACAGAGGGAGGGGGAACCTATCCGCAGCTACATCAAGAGGTTCAATGATGCATGTCTGTAGATAACCGATCTAGACCCCGTAGTGAGGCTCACAACAGCCAAAAGAGGCATAACGCACAAAGAGTTCAAATGGCATGTGGTTGCCAACAAGCCCAAGGACATAATTGAATTCCTCAAGCTCGCAGACCAGTTCATCAGAACAGCGGAGGAGATGAACCAGAAAAACGAGAACCCACCGGAGAAGAGGAAAAGAGAAGGTGAGACTCAACTAACGGGGACAATAAGAGGAGGAAAGAACCAGCTTGGGGAGGAAAGCCATACCAGTCTTTCCAAGCTCCTCCAGCTGAAAAGACGAAATACACGCCCTTGAACGCGAAGCGAGCGGAGATCCTCATGGCGATCAAGGACGCGTCTTTTATGAAGTGGCCACCTCGTATGAGAGGAGGCCTGAATACTAGAAAAAAAAATCTGTATTGTCATTTTCATAGAGATCACGGTCATAGCACCGAAATTTGTAAAAACCTCCGCGATGAGATAGAAGAACTCATCTATCGCGGGTATTTAAGAAATTTTGTACAAAGTGATAATAAAACAAGACGGCAGGGGGAGCAAGGTAGAGACGCTCCCAAGTCCAGCAATAGGCAGAATGAGCAGCCGCAGAGGCAGCCACCCGAAGAGAGGCTAGTTCAGGGAACCATCCAAATGATCACCGGTAGATCGATCATCGTAGGCTGCACCTCAACCGCAGCAAGGACCTCAGCCCGTGAGATCGAAAGAGAAGAGCAGAATCCCCTGAAGCGGCCAAGGTTAGAAGAACCAATTTTCTTCACTGAAGATGATGCGTGCGGAGTCCAGTACCCCCACGATGATGTGCTCGTTGTAAAAATGAGAATCAATGATTTCGAGGTAAGGAGCATCCTTGTCGACTTCGGCAGTTTAGCGGATATACTCTTCAAGGCCGCGTTTGACAAACTTCAGCTTCGGGAAAGTGACCTCAAGCCCGTGAACACTCCCTTGGTGGGCTTCAGCAGAGAGGAAGTCAGGCCCCTGGGAGAGTTACAGTACTTGTGGAGGTCGGCACATGGCCAAGTATTGTGAGACTCGACCACCCCTTTCTAGTGGCCGCGACTCCCTCCCCGTACAATGCCATAATAGGTCGGCCAATCACCCACGCTTTATGCGCAATGGTGCCCACCTATTACTTGCCTATGAAGTTCTCAACGGACTTCGGAGTAGGGGTAGTGCGGAGCGACCAGCTCGAGTCTCGCAAATGCTACGTCGCCGCCCTAAAAGGGAAAGCCAAGGTGGCCGACGACCTCAAGCTGGAGCGACCTACGGAGCAGCATGAAGAGCGAGCTATGCCCATAGAAGAGACGGTCGTTGTACCTACTTCGACAAACGATCCAGCTCGGACTCTCCAGATCGGCGCTTCAATCGAGGAGCCTTTACGATCTCAGCTGGTAAGCTTTCTACTTAAAAATTTAGATGTTTTTGCATGGTCCACGGCAGAGATGCCCGGCATAGACCCCAGAGTCATTACTCACAAGCTGAACACTAATCCTATAGTTAGGCCCGTTAGATATAAGAAACACAACCTAGCCCTAGAGCATTGGAGAGCAGTCAACGAGGAGGTTGGGAAGTTCCTCACAACCGATTTCATCAGGGAGGTCCATTACCCGAGCTGGGTAGCCAACCCCGTTCTAATAAAAAAGGCCAATGGTAAATGGCGCATGTGCATCGATTATACCGACCTGAATCTAGCTTGCCCGAAGGACTGCTTCCCACTTCCCAAGATAGATCGTTTGGTGGACACGACCTCAGGGCATGAGTTGCTGAGCTTCTTGGATGCTTACTCAAGCTACAATCAGATCAGAATGGACCCTGCCGATGAGGAGAAAATGGCCTTCATAACCGAACTAGGCCTGTACTGCTACAAGGTCATGCCCTTTGGGATGAAAAATATCGGGGCTACTTTTCAAAGACTTGTAAACYGATTGTTCGAGCCACTGATTGGCAAAAAAGTAGAATGTTATGTAGATGACATGGTCATCAAAACCCAGTTTTCGAATGATTTAATAAAAGATTTGCATTCAGTTTTTGAAATTTTGCATAAGTTTAACATAAAATTAAACCCGAATAAGTGCGTTTTCTGTGTCACCTCGGGTAAATTCTTAGGTTACATTGTCAATTGACGTGACATTGAGGCCAATCCTGATAAAATTAAGGCCATCTTAGATATGAGACCACCCTAAAAATTGAAGGAGGTTCAGAGGTTGAACGGGCGCATAGCTGCTTTGAGCTGCTTCATGTCTAAATCGGCAGATCGCTGCATGCCTTTCTTCAAGGCAATTAAAAGAAGCAAGGGCATCGAATGGACTGAAGAGTGCCAGCTCGCTTTTGATGAGCTCAAAAGGTACCTCGCTAGCATCCCGGTGCTAACCCGACCCGAGGAGGGAGATATTTTGGAGCTGTACCTCTCCGTGAGTGATGAGGTAGTCAGCTCAGTACTGATAAAAGAAGTAGATTGGGTCCAACGACCCATCTATTATG